AGTTCACTGAAAGGGAAAAAGGGTAGAAATGAATCACAGATTAATCTATATTAGTGAGCTTGAAGACAAATTTCCCAATAGTAATCTGGTAGAGGGACAATCAGAAAAAAATAGCAAAGAAGTCTAAGAAAGTTTAACAACAACAACAACAACAACAACAGCAACAACACCAAGAGGAATAATTTACATGTGACCAGAACAGGAAGGTACAACAAGACACACAGAAAAAATTGTCAGAGTCTGAAAACAAAGTTCTAGAACACGAAAGACACGAACATGTGCATTTAAGAACCGAACAAGCCCAAACAGCATAGAACCCAAAAGAGAATCGCCAAGGGATATCACAACCAAACTTTCCAAAACCAAACACAAGGGAAGAATTCTGAGGTCAATTCAGGAAAAACCGAAACATTACCTACAAAGGAGAACCAACAAGACAAAGCCTCTCCTTTCTCAGCAGACCCCATGCGGGTAAGGCCATGGGATGACGTATACAAAGTTCTGGGAGAAAAAAAAAAAGAACAAGAACAAGAATATATATTTTTTAAATCATTTTATTGGGGGCTCTTATACCAATCCATACATCCATTGTGTCAAGTGCCTTTGTACATAAGTTGCCATCATCCTTTTCAGAACATTTTCTTTCTTTGGCATCAGGTCCTCATTTTTTTCCTCCCTCCCCCACCTTCCCTCCCTCATGAACCCTTGAGAATTTATAAATGATTATTTTCATATCTTACACTGACCAATGTCTCCCTTCACCCACTTTTCTGTTGCTCATTCCCCCTCCCCAGGGGTGTGTGGGGTGTAGTTATATATCAATCATTGCGATTGGTTCCCCCTTCCTGCCCCCTCCCCTACCAATTCCCCTCATGGTATCGCTACTCCTATGATTGTTCCTGAGGGGTTTATCTGCCCTGGATTTCATGTATTGACAGTTCTTCTTTTTTTTAAAAATTTAATCATTTTATTTGGGGGCTCATACAAGTCTTATCACAATCTATCCATCCATCCATTAAGTCAAGCACATTTGTATATTTGTTGCCATCATCAAAACATTCTCAGAACATTTTCTTTCTACTTGAACCCTTGGTATCGACTCCTCATTTTTTCCCTTCCCTCCCCCCTCCCTCATGAACCCTTATAATTTATAAATTATTATTATTTTGTCAAATCTTCCACTGTCCGAAGTCTTCCTTCACCCACTTTTCTCTTTTCCATCCACCAGGGAGGAGGTTATATGTAGATCCTTGTAATCAATCCCCCCTTTCTACCCCACCCTCTCTCCACCCTCAAGAAAAAGAATATTATGCTCAACAAAATTGTCCTTCAAATATAATAGTGAAGTTAGGACACTTACAGATAAATAGAAATTTTAAAACTGTGTAAAGTCTTGGTCAGTCTTGCAAGAAATACTAAAGGGAGTTCTTCAGACAGAAAAAGCAACAGAAAGAAACAAAGGTCTGAGATTAACATGCATGACACCACCAACCAGTCAAAACAGTTATCAAGTACCCAGAGCGAAACAGACCCACAAGACTGAAAACAGTTATCAAGTACCCAGAGTGAAACAGACC